ATCCATTTGTGCAAACAGCAGATCTGCAGTTAGTTTGAACCGGACTGTCCTTCGTTTGTAACTAATGCTAGGTGTGGTTATACTGAAGTGTTTTAACACACTGCTCATCAGCCTGCTTCATTCTCAGTGACATTAATCAAAGTAAGAGCAATGAGTCAAATGAAGCGAAAACAGCAGTGTGTGATCAAAATTACACATCCTTCAAGGCACATGTTACACTGGGAGTCAGACACAGACCCCATCATGAACCCACAGACAGATGAAATGTGACAGTCAAAGAGCTGGGCTCCAGAGAGAGGAGGGCAGAACATGACAGGCCAACAATGATCATCTCATTTATTGGAGCCAGTTAAAGAAAAAAAAAGGCTGAGTAATCCTAGAGTCACAGAGCCATAGGGGGTTTCAGGTAATCTCCTTATAAAAGCTAGAAAAATACACTCTGCTGTCAGTCATGTGAGAGTGGTTTCCCCAGGTCTGATGCTTTGTGAAGGAAAGGGAGGGAATCTAATGGAATAGCTGCAGGACGGAGACATGTAAAGATCAGATGATGCTCATTAACAAAACATACTGTCATCAAAAGCAGACACCATAGACATGAGATAATGCTCTGTACCCAAGGGCCACTCATGGTGTCTGAGAAAGTTCTTTATCTATTAAATGTTTTATTTACTTGTACAAGTACTTTTTTATTAAAGTTTGCAATCCTCAAGAATATTACATTTAATTAAGAAAAATGCTTTGTGTTTAGAAATCCAAACTGAGTAATAACTACAGTTCATATGGATAAACACATTTTCAAGATTTGATACAATTGAAAAAGTTTTATATTACAGTATTATTTATTTTCTTTTATTCTATTGTATTTTAGCCTCACTAGCAGCATGGTGTTAGGAATGGTGGTGTGGTTGTTGGTCAGTTGGTTGTTGGATGGATTTTGTACTATGACATGGTATAGATATTAATGATGTTCAGAGGATGAACTGTAATTACTTTGATGCCCTGACTTTTTATCTAATGACACTAGCAAAGTTTTCACTAATCCATTGAAATATCTCCACATCCACTGAATGGATTGCACAAAATTTTGTACATTCGTGGTTACTAGACAATGAGAAAAAGAAGTGAATAGGCATATTTTTCTAAATGTCAAACTATTCTTTTAAGCTAAAAGAATAGAAACAATAAGCACGAATTCAAGAACAAGATTCAAGAACAGTCATAACAGCAACAACAAGTCCTGTTTAATTCAAAACCAGACACAAAAAGCATAACATTGGCAGCATTGATAAATAATGCACATAGTTCTAAAATGAGAGATAGCTTCACTCAGGGACAGATCACGGTAAGAGTACTTATAAATAATGATCAGGATATTTTTCTCTGTCTGATGTCATGTGGTCACAGTCCATCATGTATTCATTGACTTTCTTACTCCTGTGCCTATCACTTAGCAATGCAGCCTCTCTGCCTAATGACGTTCAATCAATATCAATAATAAGGCTCATTCACAGGCACGACCATACAAACTACAAATAATCCAGTTCCTTTGGGTGTTCTGCGTCAAGTCGGTGAACGGAAACAACAATCATACCTTTTCCAGGGGAAATACATTTGCATTCAGTGCTCGGATTCTGCGACTGACAACAAGAATAAATCAATGATGAAAACCCCACTGAGCCAGATTTAAATACTGAATAAAGTACATGTAAAAATAAAGTACGTTATATGAATCTCCTGAAATATGTACAAAAGAAGAAGAAGAGTGTATAGAAAGTGCAAAAATATATGGATTTCATGTAATTCACATTCATGTAGCATGACTGTGCAGCTTCTTTAATTGTGTGGTTATTATAGATTTTGCCTGAGCTACACTGCACCCCTGCTAACTTTCTGTGAATCAAGTTAAACAAATAAGACATAGTCTTAGATAACGCTTGTACCTTTGAAAGCAATGGGCAATGTCATACTTTCCGTACCATCAGTTGACTATAATGTTTCTCAGATTGTAGTCAAATGCTGTTTGCTCTAGTGGGCCCATGCTTACAGTGTGAAATAGGTAATTTGTTTGTATTAGATCATTTGGGAAATATTGTTTAAAAAAAAAAAGATAATGTGGATTAAAGGCCTATTTCAACTGGTTTAAGCTAAGTCATGTTTTTCTTTCTTTTTCTTTTTTTTTGATCGTTCACTTTTTGATCGTTCCCAAATGTTTTAAAAACTTAAAGAAACCCACAGACTTTACTTTTAATTCAAGGTCTGCCAAAAATGAAGAGTCCAACGCTCCATTAAGCTAATATTCAAATCATAGGTTATTTGAAATTGGTGTACAAAGTGTTAATGCTTTGATAAAGAAGAGTGCATCTCAGCAAAACTTGCCAAACATCACAGTTTCTCCTGCCTGCCCCTTGAGAGTGCAGGTCTGCTTCTGCTTCCTCCAGCAATAAATCAAAACCTAAATGGAACAATGTCCCAGCTCCGACTTCAGGTGAGGCAGGCACATAGAGCCAAACAGAGAGCCCTGTGCTCAGAACTAAAGGGTTTCCAGATAAACACAGGGCTCAGATGACAGAGGAATGAAAGACTATATGTAGGGATATTTACCAGTGATATGCAGTGATACTCTATTTCTTCTTTAATTAGAATCATGCTGGCTAACACTCATTTTTCATGTCATGAACAATGATTAAAAACAATGAAGCATCCAAGATTTTTACACTATAGCTTCAGCAAAACAGATCAGCATCAGTGAGGTGGATCCTGCTCTCAACAGTATGTTGTTGCTATAGCTACAGCCTGGCAAACAAAATCTGGGGATCTTACCCGTTTCTGAATTAATTAACAACAAGAACATATTCAAAAAAGCCTGAAGAAGAAGGTTGTATCTGAGCTAGCTCAGGTGTTAATATATTGCATTCTCCACTTGTAAGTGCCTTATAATTGCTTCACTTATTTTCACACCAATTACTGTAACAGATAGTTCTTTGGAATGAAAAATATAAGAAGGCAAAGGTTTTTCTTTGTGATTCCATCTAATGTACCTCAGATTAAAGCAAATTGTTCCAGGAAAAAAAAAGAATTAATTCTTAACAATCCATTTGGTAGTAGATTTATTATACATGAATTACATAGCCCGAGGCTGGCCAGCCTAACAGCTCTCTCAGGCCTGTTTGAATTGTAAAACACAGAGCCTGTCATGCTTTATTTCCTCTTCTCCAGTTTACTTTTTTTCCATGACATGTCACAAATAATCTTTTACCCCAAACAGTTTGGTGTTGAAGCTGAAGCTGAGTTAAATTATAAACTTTGCGTGCATATGCTGAGTGAAGACACACATAAAGAAAAAAAAGAAAAGAAAAGAAACACCTTTAAAGTGCACTTGCACATGAATGAATGCATGTCAAAAAGAGTGTTCATGGTTACATCCACTCAAAATAATAGGTGCACTCAGGCATAGACATTTTTCCATGCTCACACACCACACCACAGTGTTGTCGTTGTATATAATTTATAGGTGATGAAGTGGCGCCATGATGTGGAGATGCAGTGTATTACACCATTTGGGACAGGCCCAGCAGAGGACTGTTCCACCATAGCAAGTAGGTAAAGGCCTAAATCCAAAAATCCTAGATGTCATATTCTCCCATTACTGTAAACCTGTTTTTCCAGCATAAACAAGTTGTGTTAAGTAGGTCTATAGAAAGAACATTTTGTACAGGTTTCGGATGTAGTTTTCTGTACAAAAATGATCAAATAAATTTGTTTTGCTCAAAGGGTCTGGAGCTGAGCTTTAGTGTGCAGCAATCCTCTTTCATTTTGGACATTCTATACCACCTACGTTTGACCTGCATCCCATTAAATTGCATATAATAGGCTTATATACTCCCATGTAAATCAAACTTGAGACACAAACATTATAAATTCAAAAATAACCTTTAAATGCAAAGACAAAAACCACACACTGTAAATACATGGGGGCCAACTCTGATGTGAACTAAGCAAGAGTGCAGTGTTTCTCAGGGGTGGGGGATGGTGTGAGTAATGTTAGGAGTCAAAGGAGTTGTTCCCAAAGTTGGGACAGAGGCAAGGCTGCTACTCTAAACCTCTGGGATTCAGTTCCTCGAATAAGAATAATAAGAACAGAGTTGATGGTTATTTTATTAAACGTATTTAAATGAGCACAGTGGCCACATGCACCAACACCACCATCCTCACACACAAGATAAACACACATTTAACAAAATGATTAACTCTGTGTGAAACAATTAACACATGCAGTCTAAATATCTGAATACACACCTATAAACACAACAACCTCTTTTAAGAAAATCAAGCTCTTTATCATTTTTTAAATTTTATTTTGAAGGTGGATGACTACAATTCTATGATAACCTGTGTTTAAGTATGATCACAATTATAGTCCATGATAGCATCTGGAGCTGAGTTTCTGCCAGGATAGTAAAGGCACACTGTTATAAGCATTTATAAACAGAATCCTAATTTGAATGCATTGGTTCAAAAAAGCTCCAGAATGCATGCTCAGCATTTCTGATCATCTAATGAAAAACACACGAGGCCTACGTGCGATACGTGTCGGGCCCTACAGCCATTCACAGGAATGAGTTTTTCCACAGCTTTCATCATGTCTCATTTCTCCAGAAAGTGGGAGGGTGGGGGTTTTCTTTTTGTCGTTTTAACCGACGGTCGTTTATCGGCCTGTCGGTTTGACTGTTTAACTTAATATCTGAGGGTCAAATTATTTTAGAAAAACAAAAACTTGTGTTTAAGTTTGGCTGGAGGTCAGGCGACTGCGAGGTCTGGGGTGGGGGTCCTGGCCTTTGCTTCATCAAAGGGACCAGAAATGTTACCAGGCAGGGTAGAGAGCTGAGGACGTGATCTGAAACCTCATTGGTTGACAAAGGCAGTGGGCGGGGTGTTCTGGTTTGGGTATTTAATGCTTTGTTCCATTGTTATCGTGTGTTTTCCAGCTGGTCTGGCTCTGGAGGTGGGGGCACTCGCTGTTTGAGGATACCACTGCACTTCTTTTTTATTCTTTATTTTTTTTTTTTTATTATTTTACAATCCTTTTCTGTTGGTTTGTAGAATATGTCTTTTTCTTGCAATCAGTCCCTGGATGGCAGCTTTCCTCCCTCCCCAGCAGAGGACAGGGGTTCAAAGCGGCTGTCCTGGGGCAGCCTGCTGCATAGGCTGACTGAGCTGAAGGGGATCAATCAGAGGGTCACAGCAGATCGGTGCTGCAGGAGTGAAACTGGTGAGTGTTGCTGGCTTTTGTCTGAGCAAACCCCATTGTCTCTTGTTTTGGTTGACGAATAACATTTTAGTATTTTTTGTTGTTGTTTTGTTTACTTGAACATGGAAAAAGAAAGAAAATGAATTCACAAAGTACAAAGGGATTTACTGTTACTGATAACCTACACCTATTTTTAATCAGAAAACAGAATCAAAAGTTTAGGGTGAATACTGCACCACCAAACAAGACTCAATATGTATTCTTTTGTTTTAGGATCTGTGGCAGACATGTCCCTGTCAGAGTCAGATTTATTCTGTGATCCCCTGGAGGAAACCTTAGCTGCAGAACTTGTAGCAACCATCACACAAAGTCTCAACAACGCGTCCCACATCCTGGGCTGCTCCAAACTCATTTTACCAGACTGTCTGCTGCACAGTATCAGCCAGGAGCTGCTCCACCTGGCTGTGTGTGAGCCCTGCGGCCTCAGGGGCGCACTCATCGACTTGTGTGTAGACAGGGGAGAACAGGGCTCTCTCTGTACTGTGGACCAGATAGCAGTGGATGCCACCTTGGTCCCAACCTTCCATGTGACCCTGGTGTTGAGGTTTGAGTCAAATGGATTGTGGCCAAAGGTTCAGAAGCTCTTCAAGTCTCCGCAGACATCTGCAACATCTCCGGGGCACCGACACGCTCAGAGGCTGAGTACGAGCTTCAGGGCTATTAAAAGGAAACTGTACTGTTCAGGGGAGCTGCTGATTGAGGAGTGCTGCTGACCAAGCACTCCTCTCCCCTCATAATCTGAATAAAATTCATGTGCACTGTGAGAAGAAGTAACATGTCAAATGGCAATAACAAGGTTTCCCTGGAACCAGTCTCATGGCAGCTACTCACCTGGTAACAGGTGACTCAACAATGAAGACTCATGTTTGAACATGGATAAGTTTGTTTCCTATGAATGTAAAGTCACACCCTTACGGGAATGGCTTATGTATTTGATAGTCAAATCATCATCTGAAACTTGTGTCTTGTATTTTGAACTACTTGAATAACATAAAAATAAATTATTTTCTATTATATTTCATCATGGTTTTCTTCTAACTTTCTATTAATCAATAACTGTCCCATTTCCATACTCATATACAGCAAGTACTACATCCTAATTATCATAGTATACTCTTTTAGCAGTTAGCATATACAAAATAAATGAACATACCATTTGATACAAATAAAAAATGCAACAATACATGCAATGTCAATCTCACTGCAACTTTGGAATATCAGTGACACTGGCTTTTTCTGAAAAGTTAATATTTATCTCTCTGGAGCCGTCTCACCACCACCCACAATTTATTTTAATGCTTTTTAGCTGTGAGCAGCTCATCCATTTTCTTTGTGCACTGCACTGAGGGAGAAGCAGGCATTATGGATTTGGGACACACAGATCAACTTGTTATAAAAGCACAAGACAGAGAGAGAGAGAGAGATAGTGTGTGTATGTGTGCCTCTGTGTCTTAAAAGAAAAAAAATGCATCCATCAATCATTGGACAAATTTAATTCCAAGAAACTTCTATACAATTTTAGCATGTTAATTTAATAAATATGGTTTACTTTTATTTGTGCAATCATTTTCAATACTTATGATCCAACAGACTACAAGCGAATCCACATAATAACATTATAGTATATGATATTAACTTCAATAAACCCTGCACTGTTAAAAGTAAAATGAATATTTACATTGGTAAGAACTATAAAAATTACACACTTTCCTTGTGAGTGGCTCAGACATCTGTCTATGAGAAGGCCATGAGGTTTCTCAAAATATTTAAGGAAAACAAAAAAAAAAAAAAAAAAAAAAAAAAAAAAAAAAAAAAAAAAAAAAAAAAACTGGGACAGAGAAAGCTAATCTTAGCAGCTTTGTTACCGTTCAAATATGCTCTTACTTTCCACCGTGATGCCCTGCGGACTCCCACCCACTTGAAGACACTAGAGTAAGAAAATGTCAGCAGTCAACTCAAAGCTTCTCACAGTTCTACAGGAAGTCAATCTACACCGAGTTGCAGAGAGGTTCCCTGATGAGGTCTGCTGCCCACTGCGCGTAAGGCATTTTTGATTCTCTTGGTTTGCTGCAGAAATATGCTCCAATTTGAGTGGGCTCCGACCGATTTCTTCTAATTAGATTCAAGTACCGATGAACCTAAGGAAAAAAAAAAAAGAATCAGTGACAGTTGTGCAGCAATTACTTTACATGGGACAAACTTTTTCTAGATTCCTTCACATGTGCATACAACCAAAAAAAATTCATGAAAACATCTACATAAATCATTTATTACTTATTGTTACTTGTGCAATACTCAGTATCAGTGGAACAACTGCAGAAAAATTAATTATACACAATTTTGCATGTTATAGCCAATTAACTACTACAATCAAAACATTCACACTTAATTTTTTTGTTGCATGTTTTTAAAATATATTTCCTTCCTTCCAGAGAGCCATATGTTTTTGTTCATTGCAGAATGGTATAAAACCCAACTTGCAGAGACTTGACCCTTGCTCGATATAGATAATCTATCACATTGACCCATTAGTGGCCTTTACTGATGCCTTTTTATTGGTCAACGTTCTGTCATCACATGGTTATGCGGGCCAGTTTTGAATGCTCTTCTCATTGGTGCAGTAAAATGCGTATGGGAAACCTCAACATCTGACTCTTGAGATGTCAGTTGAAAAGACAAAAATAAAGCTGACTAAATGTGCGCTGTAATGGATTAAAACGAATGGCAACAGCAGCCTGGAAGGTTGGCAATCTATCCAAAAACATGCTCTGAAAAGTGTGTGTGATGTAGTGTGATGTTTGTGCAACTTACCCATATATGTGCAAGTGGTTTCTATCCATCCAATATAACCTGAATCTCAGATAGTCTGGAGCAGCTGGGTGTGCCCATTCTCTGTGCCCTTTGGTATAACTCAGAATCCCCAAAGTAACGGGCACGATACAGTAAGCCTTCCTCTGAAAGTACAAGAGGAGAGTAGGTCAGCACACTAGGGTTCAGTCAACTACTCTATGAACATTAAGGCACACAATCCAAGCTTTACATTATTCCTTTGGAAGCTGTTGGAATCAATTCAAAAAGTGTTGACATTGCATTTCAAAAAGGAAATAAGAACACACCAAACTAAGAAAAGAAAACCAGCTGAAATCCAGGTGGGATACTGTGCAGTTGCAGTACTGTAAACTAAAGCAAATGAAATGCTTTGGTTCAATAATTAATCAATCAATGGAAAAGGAATCTGCGACAAAGTTGATAATAGATTTATTGTTTATGTAACTTTTAAAGCCTTACAAATGTAAATATTTGCTGGTTTCCTAGGTCTTTTATGATAATAAAACGGAATGCTTTGGGTTTGCGACCGCTGGCCAAAGAAAACAAACAACTGAAATATGTACACCTGGTGTGCAGCTTTTCTGCCATTTTACAGAGCAAATAATTGAGTGGTTAAACATGAAAATAACCATGTGATTAATTGCTAATTAAGATTGCTATGAGCAGCCCTACTGTAAAACTTACTCTGCTGCTTCTCTTTCCAACAGTTGTTTCTGAGGTTGGAGATGTAGTCCTGTTCTACACTTCTCTCAACATTCTTCAGGTTATTCCCTGAATATTCTTCGTTGAAACGGTCTCCCACATAGAAAGGCACCTTCAGGTTGGATGTATGCCTTTTGTGAATATGTCCAGCTGACCTGATGCATAGAGAATGTATAACAACAGAGTGAGACAGATGTTGAGACATTTTCACACAAACCCAGTAAGATCTCCACATTGTTTGAACCACTTACGGGCGGTAGCTAAGGCTGTAGGGAGGCTGGGTGACCATCATCTGGCTGAGGGCAGAAACAATGATGAGGATTAAGATGGGCATCAGCTGGACAAACAGAGCCAGACCTCCCTGTCCAGAAAGAAAAAATACATTTGATTACTGTTTATTACAGACGATACATCAGCTGGTATGAAATTCAAGTGTATTAGTATTCAAGTGTTACAGACAGGACTTACATCTCTCTGTTGTTCTCGTCGTTCTTGCCTATTATGATGTGCAAAGTGCATTCTTCCATTCCTGTAAACATGTACGTTACCTAAAAAGAATTTTAGATAATAAAAAAAATAAGATGTGGCACTCAGCATCGCTGCGACTCTAAGAGAACGCAGGTTTTCAGTCCAATCAGTTACTGAACTCACTAAATATCACATCGTCAACCAGAGAGACTCGAGTATTTAGGATGAATGTTTACAGGCGATTTTTAACTAGGCTGGTCCAGAGTAGAGAGTATTTATGACATACAGCAGAAGAACTGATGTAGTCATTACAGAAGAAATAACAAGAGTCTGTATTTTCACTCGAGTGAACATCACAGAAAGGCAAACAAAACAAACAGCAAACCATTTGCATGCTGCTGTTAATCTGATAAAACAGTCTTGTCATATGCTCATAAGATGTTAACGATAAGATGACGGCACTATGAACTTGTGCTTAGCATCAGCCCGTGGCTTTTTGCTTGTGCAAATAGAAAAGGAAAGGCGTGACTGAAAAGGAGGGAGATTCACAAGGCTGAACAGCCAGTCAGACAGCTCTCTCAGACCCGACCTGAGAATGATCACTGATAAGGGCTGAGTAAAACCAGCAGTTCCAGACAAAGTGCAAAAACTACCAGTAAAGGTGAAACAAGCTCTAAAGACTGCTGATGGCTAACTGGTGGCTTTGTGTGGCTTGCTGTCATATCAAGTGGTTTAATCAGCCATACACGTTATTCCAAACATGAAAAACGAAATACTCTTGAGCCTCCATAGTGCTGCATTAGTACAACTTCCTGACTGAGACTTCATTCATCTGGTCTCTACTTACTTGACGGGAAGCCTCCACCAAAGAACATGTTGAAGAGGTCCTCTGGTGAGATGTCTGCTTCAAAATCACGATGGTGTCTGTGTCTGGTTGGGTGTGATCTTTCCTCTCCATACTGGTCATACTGCCTTCGTTTCTCAGCATTACTCAGAACAGCATAGGCATTACCAATAGCTGAAAGACACATACACGAAAAATATGCTTGCATGTAGTTAACTTACATTTACATATTCTCCATAGAAAAGCAGTGGAGAATACTTTTAATTTACCTTTAAATGCCTCTGTGGCTCCAGGTGCGTGATTTTTATCTGGGTGAAATTTCAAAGCCAGTTTTCTGTAAGCCTTTTTAAGATCCTCCTCAGAGGCGGTCTTTTCAACTCCCAGAATTTGGTAGTAATCTTTACAGCTCTTAATCCTGCAGTAAAAAAAAACAAAACAAAACCAACAAAAAAAAGAAAAACACCCACCAGAGATGGTTAGCAGATTGCGGAAAAAACAAACCAACTAAAACAATGGAACCTCAACGCACAGATACCTCCACATTAAGCTATAAGTATTGACATAAACAGACACTTCTAAATGTATGAGCTAACCACATAATTCATCTGCACCTTTAACTTATTTCTGAGAATGTTGTCTATTCTCTATAGACAGTGGACAGGGGCAGTTTCACAGTGAACGGTCAGCAAAAAGAAAAAACACTAATCTGGATGAATCTTGTGTACATGATTTTGGCATTTTCAAATACTCTGATCAAAAACATTTTTACACTGTCTAGACTGATTTTAATTGGGCTTTAATGCCTTCTAGAAAAATGATATACAATACATTCAACTACATTTACTGTCTAAAACATCACGGTGGATTGTAGTTTTCATATAATCAGACCACAAAAGAAGCATTTTCTTTTATGATAAAAGCCGAACTAAAATGAAGTTATCTGACTGTTCCAGCTGAGTGCCATGAACAATCTGTGCTTGACGCTGATTGGTCAACACAATAATATAAATATACTATTTCATATCCCCAACCCCTTGACCATGTTCTGTGTTTTTACTTGATTTGTCGATAAATTTTCTGTAGATCACCTGTGTGACTAATGGACTGTCACAGTAAACACACAGTGACATTTAATTTTGTCAGCATCGCCCAGCTCTACTGACACTAACGACAGATCCACATGTGCACTGACTTTCTGACAGCATCCAGCTGCTCTGCGGTGTAGGATTTGGCCGAGTCTGTGGCCGCCTGTGCTGACCCCTCAGTCTCCTCTCTGTGGCTGCGGTGCCTCATAGAGGGTCCATCTCCGTTCACGGGATTGCCATTCTCCTCTGGAGGCTTTCCATTCTGTGCTAACGACTCCAGTAAGTCTGTAAAGAAAGTGATGCTATATTATTCTTTTTTTCCCCAGATTTAAGATATAACAAAGAAGCAAATAGACAATGGTGATGGCTTGGTTCATGATACCTATGTTAAAGCCATTTGAAAGCATGTTTCCAAAAAAACATGGATGCTGCTTGCTCCATAGATACTACATCCAAATAATCTGCAACACAGCTGTCTTCAATAACTGACCCTCCATTTGATAAGAGTTGTCAGTTTCACTAAGAGAAGGGCTAATTCAATCAAGTGCTGCAATTGCTTTCTCCATCCATCTTACTTGCCAGTAGACCCACGGGTAGATATAAAATTTTATCCAATATTTTACACAAAAAATCTCTCACATTTACTCAAAACCTTTTTACCTGTGGGCATTGCCAAAGCCTTACACTCATATATGTAAAACATTACAACAGTTTGTGTGGGTTGATTTAAACCCTTAACAACCTAACCTAAACAAATTCCTCTGGGTAACTTTAAACCTCACACAGTGCAAGAGATAGTTTGAAAGACTCAATATAGCTTCACTCTGATCTGAGACATTTATGTAATACTTTAACCACTTCGCATGTGAACAGAGTTGAATGGCTTTTGATGCGCTTATGATATTTAGGGCGATACCAAAGGGAATCGGAGACAATTTTCTGTTCCACGATTGTCTGTATCTGACTGTAAGCCAAGTAATACGAACACACATCTGGGGCCATATTATACCAGGATGCCAACCGCAAAAATAATTACCAGTCAGTTAATTCACTAGCACGGTGAGCTAACGGTTAGCACTGCAACGGCTAAAAAGAACGAAGAGAATTTAAATGCTAACTGCGAATAAATAAGCACAAATTTAAGACAATGGGTAACCAAATATATCAGATAGATTGCGGCTGCGGGCGGAAAAGACTACAAGTACCAGTGTCAGCTAGGAGCAGCTGGTGTAACGTTAACATGGTTATGCTAACGTTAGCTGATTGGGTTTCACAGCGATGGCCCACCGTTACACATACAACCACCGACGAAACAGAGGTTTATTCGACGTACTTTTGGCTCGGTCTGTCGGAAACAGGCGCTGTGCCTTCTCCAGAAACTTCCTGGCTTTGTCTGGCTGGTCGCTGCTGATCGCATTTAGGGCTATTTTAATGCACCGCTCCGCTTCGTCCTTGTTTGAGTCCATCGCGATACAGCGGAAATGTTTACTTGCCCCGGGACGCACGGAGATGACGTAGAGAAGACGGCTGACTTATTAATTATACGTCATAACAGTTGACTTGAACCTTCAGCATGCGCTCCATTAACACCAGACTGAAAAATACGCTGTAAACTCTGATATTTAAAGTCAGTGCGGTTAATTATACATTTTTAGCCACTTCTTTGGCAGTCTAAATGGCTTTGGCAACTACATGCAGTAGGTCAGTCCTGTTTGTCAAACGCAAGATTTGGGATTCTTTTAGGAAAACCTGTCTGTTGTTTTCAACTAATGACACTATTTTAGCGGACCAAGGGAAACCACCGTCCAAGAAACGGTGGGGAAAAAGTCACAAGAAACCTGCCTGGACTGATCATCTGCCATGGGAGGAAAGGCTAGTTGATGCAGTAACCCCTCTGTGTAGGCTGAGCTATGATGAGCAACTTGAGCTCAAGCAAAATCATCAGGAAAGGATACTGTCTCAGCTCTCTGGGCATCTTGCAGGTGGCTACCAATCACAATCCTCATCACCTGTGAAAGGTAAACTCAGCTTCCCTGTCCTTCCTATTCTGCCATCCCCAGTTAGGGATGGCTACCGCAACAAGTCTACGTTTTCTGTCAACAAAGGAGTAGATGGAAATCCAAAGACAGTTGGATTTTACGTGGGCACTGGCAAGGGAAGAAACATTGTCTGCGTCAACGGAGACCACCTGCTCAACATGCCGGAGAAGCACAAACTGGTGGCCAGATGCTATCAGGACTTCATCCGCCGCTCTTCCCTGGAGCCCTGCCTGCTGTTCCACACTGGGGGTCACTGGAGAGAGGTCACAGTGAGGACCAACACAGAGGGCCGCACCATGGCTATAGTGTACTTTCATCCACAGACACTAACCCCAGATGAGGTGGCCATCCATAAGGCTGACCTGGTGGATTACTTCATACGGGGTCCTGGATCAGTTTGTCAGTTGGACTCACTGTTCTTCCAGGAGAGCAGCATGACTCGCTGCAGTCATGAGGAATCCCCCTACCAGCTCCTGCATGGTCAGCCACATATATACGAGGAGGTAATGGGGTAAAATTACAGAGAATCTCTAAAGGACTTCACATAGCATACTATACAGCCTTGACATTTTGGCATTGTACTTCCTAATCCTAGAAATTGAGATTGGAAGAAAGTTTAATCAAAATCAGTCAATTATCAGCAGTTAAAAATAAACTGGAACAATATGACATTTTTTTGTAGCTTATATCATCTGATATACAGAAAAAAATGTGGTAATTTAGATTGTAAAATGTCAGCAGTACTTACATATGCCCATTTCAGTCTGTTTCACATGACTTCTTAATGTAAAATTGTTTATTGTCCCTATTAGTGTTGAATTTATGATGATAATAGACAGAGAGGAGCAGGTAGCACAAAATCCATGTATGCCTACATTATGTTTGTCTTTCAGTGTCTGTTCCTAAGTTGTTTTGTCATTCACAGGTCCTGGGCTTCAAGTTCCGCATCTCTGCTGATTCCTTTTTCCAGGTGAACCAGGCTGCTGCTGAGGTGCTCTATGGCACAGTGAGAGACCTTTGTGTCCCAAACGCTGAGAAAGGTGATGGACAAGCAAGAGTCGGTGGTACTCTTCTAGATGTATGCTGCGGGACTGGTGCTATTGGCATTACTATATCCCCCAGAGTGGACAGAATTATTGGTATAGAGCTCATAGAACAAGCAGTGGAAGATGCAAGACACAATGCAGCACTCAACAATGTACTGAATTGCGAGTTTATCCCTGGGAAGGCAGAGGTGGTGCTTCCTGGCCTCATGTCTCAGCTGAGCTCTGCAGCTGGAGGCCTTACAGCTGTGGTAAACCCTGCTCGGGCTGGCCTGCACTACAGAGTGGTCCGAGCTTTACGAAACCAACCTTCTATCCGCCGGCTGGTCTATGTTTCCTGTAAACCAGATGGAGAGGCTATGAGAAACTTCAGACAGCTTTGTTGTGAACCCGACCTGCCGAAAAAACTCTCAGGAGAGGCATTCTCTCCAACGCTGGCTGTGCCTGTGGACATGTTCCCACATACTCCTCACTGTGAACTGGTGCTACTTTTTGAGAGGTAGCAGATGTTTTGTGTTTAGAGGTATGCTTTAACCCTTCACCAACAATGCTAGTTGCTTAGGAAAGCTAAGCAACAAAGTTGAATAATGATGTACATATGTTAGATGATAATGGAAATGATTGTAACCACCTACAATAATCTTACACCCACACAGATGTTTTCACTTAGTTTCATGATTACACCTCCTCTGTGGTAACGCTGCAACAAATTATTATTTTTATTGTCTGTCAATTTTTTTTTTTGATTAATCATTTGGTCTATAAAGTCTGCTACACAGTCTTTGTACACTTTAAGCTTGGTCATTTTATTGTACCCATCCCCTGTTGCCCTACTTCTTTGTCTGCCCTGCAGTAGCCGTACTTGTGCAGTAGGTGGTGCCATTACAACTTCTTTGGCTCCATCATTCTCGGAAACATTGGCCCTAAAACAGCTGTTGCACAACCTCTGTGCAGTCATCCCATTCATTCCAGTTCACTAAAGGTCATAAAATAATCTTTGTACAGTATGAGTGGTACAGTTTTGTTGCTGAGAGGTTACCACCGTTTATGTGGGGTCATATATTGGGACATGGGTCAAAGATCGGATGTTGTTTTATCTCCTGAGTGAAGTAATGGGATGATCATGCTTTATGCACAAGATCATCTAGGCTTTGCTAGAAGCAGTGAAACAGGGAAATGAACTTTTTTATCCCCACAACAACTGCCAACAACTGTGCTGGGGTTCATATCAGTCAGCGGTACATCTCTGTGGTATCATGTGCTTGAGACAGTGAAATCAAAATTGTTATATTTAGCTATCACATCATAACAAAAAAGTTTCACATAAACTCCCACCTATTGTGGTTGCTGGTTTCAACATTTGAGGAAAATAATTTTAATGTATTCTACTGGAAAGTTGCACTCTAACTGAACACAGTTGGGATATTTTGGCAGCTGTTCACAACCATGCCAGACTAGACTTGTCTTGAAATTGGTAATTGAAGATTGTAGAACAGCAGATTTGGATTTGAACTCCACATTGTCTGCACTTGTTTGGAGATGAGTTTCATGCCAGTCAGGGTAAAGGGCGCAGTCATATGAATGCAAATATCTTGACAGCCTCATGTTAGACTGAGACTGTCAGTGCCGCATGACATCATGGTGTCATGAGAGGTGATCTGTGTGTTTACTACCTTCTGCAATGTTTCATCAGATTAAGAATCGCATACAGATCAGACTTTCTGATGTTTGAAAAAAAGGGAGGGCGGTAAACATCAGTTAAGGAAACAGCCAATGGGGCATTCAGAGACGGTGGCATCAATTTCCCCATCGACCAGCTGCTTTAAAACGGCATCGGAAGAGACATTAAGAGGACTCCAGAAACCGGGGATCGGCACGCCGCGTCTTCCCTTCTTTTTTCATCTTTATCTACAGCTCACATGCACCCGGATCCCCTGGAGCTTTGGTAGCTTCCTCTGTAAGGAAACGCGGTCGGAGAGCACACGGTGAGTAGGCTCAGCCATGGTAAGCAGCTGTTTCAAATCAAAAGAATCTGAATGGACATTTTTAGAGAGACGCCGAGTGTCGTATACGAATTATAAAGTGGCGTCCCTGCTGTTCTGCCGGTGTATGGCACATGAAAAACTGCTCTGCCGCTGCCACATACCGATTAATGTCGAGTCGTGCTGTGTGTGTTAGTATACAGCTGCTGTGAGGTAGCTAGCCTACATGCTACATACATCACCGTTTTGCACAGTACCTGTGGATGCTAACATGGCCGGATTAACCGCCTAGCGGGCCTCGGTGAAAAAAATCAGTTGGGCCCCTATTGAACCCTAGAGTAGTAGTAGTTTCATTATTTCCTCAAGCACACAGAAACCAACCAGGGACAGGAAATGAAGTGGCAACAATCTTTATGACATAGTTTGCATTTTTTTCTAAGCAAAAACGCCAAAAAGATCACCAGTACCAGCTTCTCATAGATTAATATTGTCTAGTTTTCCACGTTTTATATGATAGTAAATTCAGCAGCTTTAGGTTTTTTTTTTGACTGTTGGTTGGTCAATAAAAGCTGTTTGAATATGCCAACTTAATGTTTCAGGGAATAATAAAAGGCATTTAATCTCTTTTCTGACATTTTATAGGCTAAACATTGCTTATTAAAGAAAAAAAAAATAATAGTATGGATAATGAAAATAATTGTCGCTTGCAGCCTTACAACGGTCAGATTTCTGTGTGTAAATTACTACTGACAGAAATGAATGGAAGCAATTTAACACTTTTCAACAAATACAACAAAAAACAAAATAATCTAAAACAGTTAAGATCTGAAAAGTATACTTTGGGTCCCTCTACAAGATGGAGGACAAAGAAGTGGTAACATAGTAATGCAAATTTCTAATGAAGTTGCAGCTGATTACATTATGAGAACCAATGATAAAGAGTGAGGGGCCACAGAGGATCTGCTGGCCCTGGACAGATGCCCCACTAGCCCAGTTTGTAATCTAGCCTTGACCACTGAGAATCAGCACGACAGTATAACAAGTGTTGGTGGTGAAATGTTGTATCTAGTCAAACTTAAGTGACAGAGTCCCACACTACAGCGGCACATCATGACCATGGGATATGACGATAAGAATCAGTATAGTGGGAAGTTGTATAACTACTACTGTGTACTGTTTAGAAACAGTAAGACATTAAGAGCTTATAGGCCTGTGGAATTATCAACCAGCTCGATATGCCATTAGAACAAGACTGGCATGTCTTTAACACTATTTCGATCACGACGCTTCAGCTGTGATGTTAAACCGCGAACTGCTGCATGTACTACGCAGCCAGCCGCCGTATCTCTCTCTCTCCCTCTCTCTCTCTCTCTCTTTCTCTCTCTCTCTCTCTGCATCCCGCCGTGCGCATTCAACTGAGCAACTTCTCCTCTTTTTTTTTTCTTTTTTTTTTTTTTTCCCTGCTGCGCACTGCTGTTACAGAAACCCCCTCACAGCAAAATGACCGAAACGGAAACCAGGAGTCATCGCGCCGACAAGCAACAGAATGGCGATGCCATGTCAGAAACATCGACGGTGGAGGATGTTTTTGACGACACTTATAAAGAGAAAGAAGGTCCCAAACCGCCGAGGATGCTGGTGTGGAGAAATATCATACTGATGACCCTCCTACATACCGGTGCGCTTTATGGACTGATTGTCATTCCCTGCGCATCGGCTTTAACTCTTGCATGGAGTAAGTATTTTTGGTAAACACTGTGTGGCAGGCAGGGTCCCTGCGGCAGTTGGTTGGTTTTTTTTTCCTGCTTGCAAATGCCACAGTCAGAGAACAGAATGTGCTGATGTTGTGTGATCGTTGCTAACTACTGTACATGCAGCCTGAGGGGTCATGCCAATGGGAATAATGGAGAATGAGTCACTATGGTCTGTAATTTGTTACACACATCCATGCTTGTATAAGCCTCCAGATCTATTTTGTCCCTACTTTTATGAGCTCAAACCTGTGGCTGATTGTGAACTATTTGGACTTGTTGGACTGTCCCAAATCATAAGTATTTGAATTTCAGTGGTAGTAGCCATACTGTTTGCTGAATAATTAGTATTTGTGGCCTATAGATATATGTTTATATAGACTATTGAGGCATGACTCGAATTCCTGAACAGTCTCAACTTTGTTTCCACTCTGGCACTGCATAATTTTCCCCTCTCTTTGCAATGCTGAGCTGCATATTATTTCACTGGGGAAGACAAAGCACAATCACCATTCCCATAGACATCCCATTGTGAGCTGTGTGGCACCACAACAGAATGCTCTTTGCCAGTCAGAAGCCCCCGGTTCTCAAATCCTGGGTAGTCTTGTCTGGGCTTCACATAGAAACACATTCAGCAGTTTTAGAACAACAAAATTGTGAGGGCAGACCTGCGTGCTCCCACCGTCCCATCTCCCAACATAGATGACTTTTCTCTGAACAAAGAGGCCTGGGTGTAATGGAAAGAACACGGTGTCCCAGTGACTCCGCTCTCAGGGGTGTAAAATTAATCTCAGTGTAGGTGTGACAGTTTCCCCTAAGATGTCTGTCCTTTCCACCTCTCTTCCTTCCAGCTGCAGTGTGCTACCTCATCAGTGCCCTCGGTGTGACTGCTGGTGCACACAGATTATGGAGCCACAGATCCTATAAGGCTTCTTTTCCCCTGCGAGTCTTCCTTGCTCTCGCCAACTCAATGGCCTTTCAGGTAACACAGGGGGAAAAAAAGAGGAAATATTCCATCAGTTTTATCTTGCAGATTGATGTATGTGCAGGTTTTTGACACCAGAAGGCTGTTTTACATTCATCTTTTGAAGGGAGTGAAAGTTTCACTAATTTAAACATACAGTTTTACATGTCATAAAACATGCCAGGAAGGGATCTTACAGCTATCTTAATGCTTAATATTCATCAGATTAACTATCAAAAAATAAAGTGACAAGGTATAGTTTTCAGACAACTGTATGATTTCAGTAAAATTATGTAATCTGAGTGATGTGCATCTATTGTTTTGTTACCACATGATGCCTGACCTTAATCTGATGATCTCGAACTTCCATGCATTTCTATGGGTAATCCTCTCTTTCTCTGCCTGTCTCTGCGTGAGCAGAACGACGTATATGAGTGGGCGAGGGACCACCGTGTCCACCACAAGTACTCCGAGACAGACGCAGACCCCCACAATGCCACACGGGGGTTCTTCTTCGCCCACATCGGTTGGCTGCTGGTTCGCAAACACCCCGACGTCATCGAAAAGGGAAAGAAACTGGAGCTGGCGGACCTGAGGGCAGATAAAGTGGTTATGTTTCAGAGACGGTGAGCAAACATTACATTAAACATCCTAGTCAGACACAGTGAGAGTCCACATGTAATCAGATGCTGTCATTGCTGAGATGTACTGGATTCACAAGGTCTGGTACTTCATTATTGTTTCACAATAATCTTGCATCCTGTGCAGCTACTTTGCGTAAGATAAATGTTTTTTTTTGTTTTTTTTTGTTTTTTTTGGCCATCTGGATTATGTTGACATTTTTATTGAACTCAAAAATTAATACCTCCTATATTATGCCTATTGAAGAAAGGCATCATATAGGTAGTATACATTTTTTAATTTTATTTTTTAAAAACACTTACACAAACGTGTGCAAAAACTGCCGGGATTTTTCATGTGGACACTCCTTTTTAATATTTAATAACTCATTTGTGGTTTAAGTTATGAAAATAAAACCACTTGTTGCCGCTGATTATTGGTAAT